CATTCCCTCATAAGTCGTCGGTAACAGCATATAACATCAAACTTACTTTGTTAGCATTTGAAAGATCTATAATACTGCCTAAACATATGCATATCTAAATGTGTGACTGAACAATGAACTAGCAAATTAATAATATTGCTACATTAACTAAATTTTTTCATATTCCTTTGGCAGCAAGAAAAAATGATACCAGAAGCAAGGAAAAAAATGTTAGCAAAACTGGAGAAAGGGAAAGCTGAAGAGAAACAACCTCCTGCATCTGCAGAAAAGTAATTAACAGACATATTTAATTTTATACCAAACTTACTAAATATTTTAACATGTTCCCATATGTACCTACCCAGAACAGCTCATCTGCAGGGGCTCTTCTCCAGGAGCCCCTTCCAAAGGTAGTGAGACGGGTAGCCACCAGGAGGACAACCTTTTCATTCGTGGCACCCCAGTTTTGGAATGAGCTCCTCCAAGAGGTGCAGCTGGCACCTGCTTTGTATTCTTTTCATTTTCCCAGTATTGTAATTAGCTTTGCTTCATATATTCCATTTTATTCTGTACTACTGCCATGCTTTTATGTTGTATCATAGCAATTGCAGTTGTGGTTATGGTTTTATTTGGTTTTAATTCTTTATATTAATGTGTGTATCTTTTAAACATCTGTTTAATTTTAACTGTTTTTTAACTGCCCAGAGAGCCCCATCTATTGGGCAGTATAAAAATTAAACAGACAAATAAATAATGCAAATAATTGTATATTCTTATATTCTTTGCATTACATTATACTCTATATATCCTTATATACCAGAGAAGTTCACAGTAAGAAATTATACTAGTGTAGTAACAAAAATAAAATACTACAAAAACACAGTTAGTAGCACTTTCCAAATTTGTTGTTGTTGTTGTTAGTTGCAAAGTCATGTCCGACCCATTGCGATCCCATGGACAACATTCCTCCAGGCCTACCACAATTTTAAAACAACTTTAGACTCCATAATGGAAGGATGATTCCGTTAGAGTGTTTTCCATTTTTTTTTTTAAGATTGGTTGTGAAGGAAGCTATACATTTCATTTTCATCCAAAACTCTTGGCAGAATAAAAACACATTTTGGGCTGCAAATTAAAATAATGATTTAGGTACAGGATGAACTTCCTTGAAAATGGAATTCAGTTACTGCTTCTATTGATGAAAAGACTACTCCTACTCCCAGGCAATGAATAAGATCTTAAATCCTATGTAAATTGATATTGAAGAAGGCAGTTCTTAAGCCTGCCCCCTGAGTGTAAAAGTTAGCATTGGTATCTTCTACTGAGCTTGGAATGAACTGGCAACAAGTGTAAATTTCATGAGATATTTGTTCTCAGCCAATTAAACCTCTGGCTGCTGTATTTTGAATTAACTGAAGCTTTTGGACCATCTTCAGGTCTGCCTCAGGTACAGTGCAATGCAGTACTCTAAATGTAATATTACCAAAGATGGATCACTATTGTACTGTCCATGTTCAGAAAGAGCGTATAGTATAACCAGCCTAAGCTGAAAAAAGCACTCTGTGCTAATGAGGTAACTTGTCTGTCAAGTGATAGTTAAATCAGTAGTGCAGAATTCTTTGAACCCTTAGGACCACATCTGATATTTCCAGGTTTTCAAGGGTTGTGTGTATGCACAGTGCAATCTATTTGCTGCTTTATTGCTGCCAGTTACTGCTTTACTTGTCACACAATTACCACTCTTGCTTTACCAGTCACACAACTCTGTCAAGACTATCAGCACAACTTATCAAAAGGCATTAATTACTCCCTAGACTCAGTCATGCAACACTCTTTGCTAGATGTTATCAGCTGCGATTATTAAGTACACATCTGTTTGGTCACATCTTGTCTATATCCCTAGACTGGAAGAACTGAAATTCTTTCTGCAAAACTGGACGAGGCAGTTCTCTTTATTGAGTGAAATATCCCAACTGTGACATTTAAGGTGTAGTAGATGTGAGTACTTTTTCCCTCAAAGGGTTTAGCAAATATGTCATGGTGACCTTTGAGGATAATTCCATTAAATTGGAAAGTTCAGACTGCAGCATTTGAAAAACTTATGAGAAAACTACGAAGATACAATGCAGTTGAAGAACTGCAGGGTTTTTTTTTTACTATCGTCATCACCACCAGGTAGACTCAATAATGGGCTCTCATGTATGTTTGAGCATATACACTGAGTTTTCTGCCTCTTGTGTTCTAGTGATCTCCTAGTCTGTTCCATCAGACTAAGCTCCCTGATAAACCATGGTGCAACTGGGCTAAAAATTCAAAATGCTAAAAAACAGAATAAAATTAGTCCTGAACTGCAACGTGCTATCAGTATTCTACATTTGATGTTTAAAATATGTAGTCTAAAATATGGAAGATGCTCTAAACATAAAATACTACTTGCTAAGATCTTAAAATCATTCCAAAATATTCAAAATAAGATTTTTAAAATATGCGTGTTGTGTGTAGAGCTTCTAACAACCATCACAAAAGCAGGAAACTAACTGATACTATATTTTAAAATTCTCAAAAAGCCAATTATGGGAACTTGACATTCCAAAACAAATTGTTAATTTATTTGATGGATCTTTAAACCTCTTTCAAGGGAAAATATTCTCCCAAGGTCTTTGGAGTTTACCGGCACTCTTGATCATGCCTGGTATTTTAACTGAAATGTATTCTATCCTAATTTCTTTATTGTTTGGTGAAAGTGGAATTGTACAAAGTCGGTCAGACATAACTGTGCTTATTTCACATCATTCTGTAAGCTCTTTAGTTATGTCAGTAGTGCAAGTTTACATAGTTTTCCTTAATTATGGTTTACATTAATTCTACATAATTGAAATTATGGTGGAAACTTTATTCAGTGGAACTATGGATGTATGGATTTTGTTAACTCTATTCTCCTGTGTTTTGTAAAGTGTCAGAAACTTTCATTCCATTGTTCAGTGATGGCACTGGGTTTTGTTTTTAAGGGATAGACATGTGTTTTGATGCATTTGCACAAAACATGCATTAATACCATTGTGATGGCATCTGCATTGTGTCATCAGTGCAAGTGTGAATTCGTGCAATTCCTTCCCTCACCAGAAGTAATAAACAAATCAGCAAGTCTATGGAACCCATGGGGTTTGGAAAAAAGTTAGTCTAGTGTGGAATCTGCAGGTCAGATTTATAAAAATCCAAACTCAGATTTCTTGGACATCCCTAAGTATAATCAGTAACCTAAGGATACAAAGATTCACTTTTTTTACATTGATGTCTCTGAATCATATCTAAAATTCTATTAAAATCAATTATAAGTCTTTGGAATTGACCTCCTCAGCAGTGTGAATTAGCAGTTTTGCCAGCATGTTTGTAAATCACAAGAGCTTACCTTTTTCTGGTTATTCTGAATATTTTCCTAACTGACTGGGAAGTGTGTGGCTTCCTTCAACCAAAATTACTTCTGCCATGTTGATTCTGATTATCATTGAGAAGGGGGATAGTCACTAAATTAAAGGCAGCTAAATACATAGCTGTTAACTCCCAAAAAAGAAAATACTGGAAACATTCGATATTTTGCAAAAGTAGCAGTAAAGAGTGTTTATTTTACTGAAAGAGTGCTTAATATTGACATGTTCTTTTTTCTTTGTCTTAATTTTGAAAGATCCTTGCTTCTACTTTAAAATGCTTATTTCTGCTTTTTCTGTTCCCCAGAATTATAAAAGATGTTTCAGGATATTTGCAAATTTAAAATATTTCAATATTTTAACCTCCATAATACATTTTTGCAAACCATATTTTAGGGTTTTTCGTTGCAAACTGTATTTTGCTACTACTTGCAGAGTGAGGTAAAGGTATTAGGGTCCTGTCTAATTCCACTCTTCCCTTGAGGTAAAGGACACATTGAGCAGGTTCACATGATATGACCAGCCACAGTGGGTTTTTTTAAAACTATTGTTGATCCGTCATGTCATCCAAACTCTATCTTGGTATTTCAGTGTGATATGTTTGGTCTTTTGAAACCACAAACAGAAACTACAGTCTATTCTATGGTTTCCCAGTACCTTAATTGCTTGTTGTGTTGTTTGAACCCAGGAAGTACAACTGATCATAGTCCCAAAGAAGAACCAGGGAGCTGCTTGGCAAGAGGGGCTCATCACAGCTAGACAGTGCCACTGACAGTTGTTTTGTGCAGTTATCAGAGGCATTCCCTGATTTGCCTACCTCCTGCCGTAAGATCTTGGTGGCACTGCAGAAAGGAGCAGTGTTGCTCAACTGATATCCCACTGCCCCTCCATGTGCATGTCTGCGGGTGAGAATCAGCTGAGTGGTGGTGCTTGGTTGGGTGTGGTGCCACTCAGTTGATGCCCTTGTTGTTAACCATCTTGCTCCTGCTTGCCATAGAGGCATCCCCAACTGGGTGCTGCCTCCCCCTCATTGCTGTCACTTAAGAAAGGTGCTCAGTCAGGTGCTGGATCGGGGATGCCTCTCTGGCAAGTGGGAATGAGAAAGGGTGATGAATGGGGGGATGAGCTGAGTAGTGCAGTCCCCAGCCAGGCATCACCACTAGTTGATTCTTGTCCCTACTGCTCATTTTGTGAGGAGCTTTCCTCAGGTGTGTGTGGGGACAGAGGGGGAATCACCTGAGCAGTGCTGCTGCTTTCAATAGCATGATTCACCTAAGTTATTCTCCCTTTGAGTTCATGATTCTGTGGGCATAGAATGATGTCACCTCATGCAGTACATTTCAGTGAACTGATAGGCGAACTGAGATCTCTGTTTCTAAGCCTCAAGTGCTGTACACTGAACTAGTTTGGATACTGTTTCCTATCATACCTGGGAGAAGTGGAATCTGGAGCTGCCTACTGATTCTGTTGCACCCAATTTAATAGTATAAATGTTTTACTACTTCCTCAGCTTCATAAATAGTTTGTCCTATATTTTCTTAATTCAGGGCACCAAGAAAGGACTCTTTACCGTCAAAGCAGAAAGAAAATCAGAAAATGAAAGAAGATTTAGCTAAAGCTCAGGTAATAAGTACAGATGACCCAAAGCCAGCTCTATGATTAGGTAGAATGGAGCAGTTGGCTGAGATGTCACATTTTTAGATAACATGAACTGTAAGGACATTTCCAGTTATTTAATTTATTATTAATGTGCTTTTACTGCCAGGGACTGGGAAGAGGAGCTTGTGTAATTTTCTTTCTCATATGGCAAAAGAACAGATGGTGTTTAGATATTGTGCAACCTGGAAAAGGAATAGGGGTGGAGTGCCATTTTCTGCTCTGCTTCAGGCAGCAAAATGCTTTGGACTAGCTCTGAAAAGACCAAAATGTTCTGACCGTATAAAGTTCATTGCTTCAATCTTTGAATGCTAGATAATTTTAAATAATGCTTACCTCAAACGTGAATAGGAAAGGAAGAGTCTTTCTATTGAATTCATAATTCTCCCAGCTAAGTAATTTCATGTCATGTGAGCTGCCCCGAGGCTTCGGCGAATGGGGCGGCATAAAAATGTTATAATAAATAAAATAAATAAAATAAATAAATGTCTGCATAAAAGTATGGGGGTTCAGCTTTATAATATCTATTTTGTTCTATCTCAAGTAATCAAAATATTTATTTGTAAAGCTATTTGTGGAGCACAGCAGTTTTGTACCATGTGTAATGCTCTGCCAGTGCTGTTTTCTGTATAATTTCAAATTTTCAGCCATCATATACAGCAGCTTGATAGTTAAGCATACAACCTACACTGACTTTTCACATAGCTGGGATCCTAAGGACATGGAGGTTCTGATGCTTCTTCAAGTGATGGGTAGGTTGGCAGGCATAGCTCCTGCAGGCCTCCTGTGAACCTTAGGCTGTTGTTGCCTTTGCCATTTTTGTTGGATTTCTGACTTTTGAAACAAAACAGACTATGAAACCTTTAGATGCAGCATGTCACACATTTGCATGAAGCATATTTGCAGGCTAGCTTAATAAGCCACTGAGGATGAACAGTTTTATTAAAACTACTGTTTGAGAACCACCCAAACTTAAAATAGGGCACAATTACAAGAGAGATGCATAAAACGCTTTGCCCATTTTCTGTTAGACAAGGAATAAAGGAATAAAGTAACAAGCAAAGAAAGGAAGTACAGATCTTTCCAGATAAAGTATGGTTTGAAATTTTTAACAGCAGTTATTATGGACTGATTCATAAAATATTATGGTGTTATGCTATATTTAATATAAGGTCACACAGGTAAGCAGGACAAATAATATTTATTCAGACTGAAACTACACTTTTCATCAGTCTCAGAAGCTTAAGATCCTTTTTTGAAAGAAATCATCTTCATTTCTTAATTTTAAGTAATTCTAGACATCCTTTCATACAGATCCAGGTAATTGGTTTGTAATCACTTTCAAATGGAACACATAGAAAAGAAAAATGCATTAGTGTAACTCTTTTTAATGAGTGGAGACTATACATATCTTTTAACTTTACAACCTGTATACTGTCATTACACCTCTGCTCATTCTGTTGAAGTCACAGCATCAACCACTAGCACATTAAGAAGTAGCACTACCTAGGGCTATTCTGGGAAATTTGCAGAACTTTGTTTCTAGAAAGGGAGGCATCAGTGGGCTCACTTCTGTGAGCTTTGTTGAGCTGTCCTGTTTTGGAAACAAACTTTTCCATATTTTTCTGATTGTTTCAGGAACTATGAACTTCTTCTTGTACTAGAAGTTGGTCCTCCTAATGTTCAGTCAACATTAGATACTGCTAAAAGGAATTCCTAAATATTAATTCAAATGACTAAAGAAACTTTGCAATTGTAGGCAAACGTCCAGTCACTTGAAGAAGAGAAGAAAATGCTGGAAGAGAAACTGAAGAGAGCATTAGAGGTATTAACAATTTTTAACCCTTTAGATGTTAAGAATAAATGCTAAATCAAAATTGTTGTCCAAAATAAGTATAAATCATGATCAGTACAATATAAATAAAATGGGGGCCATAAAAACATAATCTAAAACTACAAGAAAATATTTATCCATGCATAATCCTTCCACAAAATCTCCCCCCACCAAGCCTAGAAAGCACACCACAAAGTCTGCTCACAGTTGGGCCATAACTAATGTCCAAGTGCCTGAAACAATAGGTACATCTTACTTGGTGCCAAAAAAATGAATGCTGACATGTCAGGTGAACTTTGCAAATAGCATTTCATTAACACTAGACTATCACAGAAAATGCCCATTTTTTGACAGCTGCATCATTATTACCACCACCATAATCATTATTATTATTCTTATATTAAATGAAATTTAGCCCTCATCCTCAACCCACTGCTACCTAAGGTACCTGGTCACAATGTTGCAGTCACAGTAGAATCTATTACTGGAAGTTTGATTCATCTGGACGGCACCCACTTGAGAAAGTTTAAAATTTAGACCCAATAAATTTTGTATCCAATTGGCTCCTCAATCCATATAGCCACCAAAAATCTTTCTTACTTGCTTACATCTTTCCTGTTCATGGTGCATGGCAATATGCTGCTTAAGCGTTATGTAAGAGTTTTTCTACGTTCTCCTTGGCTCCCTTCTCCAACTTTCACTGGTTTGCACAACATGACAACCTACTTTTAACTTGTTTTGTTGTGAGAACCCAGGATGGCCTTGTCAGGATGGCTTATTTTAGGGTTATAGGCTACCCTGATGATCCATGACTTGTAGCTTGGCTCTGATCCATAGCAGGTTATTGTGCTGTTATTCTGACATAATCCATCATAAATCAAGCCCAAATATAAACAAGTCAATTGACAAGAGCAGCCTACAGTGACCAGAAAGGTGTGCCAGGTTTATGTGTCCCCAAGGTCACTGCCAGTGGAGGTGGTGCAATGCAATACTTAGTTACTAGGTAGATATGGACAGTGACAAGCAGAGGCAGAAGGAAGCTGCAGCAGTGGTCACTCTTCATGCAGAACTTTATGAAAGAAGCATGGTTTCTGGGTTCAGATGAAAAACCTGGCCATGATAAAGTGTGTAAACCATAGAACAGCCTACTGTTTATCTGCAAGTTTCTACAGAGAAACTTTACTGTGCTTCCTCATGTTTGCTGGGTTCAGACATAATGGCAAGCCATGCCACTGTAATTTCCACCATGACTTGTCATTATGTCTAAATCTAGCCAGAGTCTGTTGGTGCTGTGTTGGGCTAAAGGGCATAAAATTAGAAAAACTAACTGCAAAATGTTATAACTGTACACAGGGAGGCTACACATTTCAAATGAGAAAACTGTACAAATATTGTTTTAATTTTTTAAAAAATAGGAAGCTGAAATGGCAAAGGGTCAGCTTGCTGAAATACCTCCACATATTCCAGATTGGCGGATGACTTACACAGCAATTGAAGAAGATGACAAAGATGTTCCAAAGAAAGGCAAAAAAGGAATAAAAGTTAAAGGCAAAGGAGAGGATCGGACAGATTTAAAACAGCAGTCTTCAAGTGGAACTGATAGATCAATCCACAAACAGCAAAAAACTGAAATGGGAAAAGCAGGTGAATCATTTCCAAGAAAGAGTCAGGACCTTTCCACAGTACCCCCAATAAAAGATGCTAAACACAAGAGAAAGGGATCTGCTTACCCAGATGGACATAGTGATACTTATGAAAAAGAACTTTCAAAGCAGACTACCCAGTCTGAAGGCACATCACGAATAGCTGACAAAAAGATGGAAGATTCAAAGAAAATGAAAGCCAAGACAGAAGGAAAATCAGAGACAGTAAGCAATGTGTACATTTAGTTTTTTTAAAAAATAGAGTAATATCAAAAAACCCTCTTTTACAATTATATATGAATTTGCACGCTAATGATCTATTCTGTTCATCTGAATTTGTCTGGATGATGAACATAATATTGGAAATATGTGCATGCAGCATGCAGAGGAATAAATGCTGGGGAAGATATGCCACTGATTCATAGAAAAAACCCAGCCCTTTTGTGATCAATTTACAGCAGTCTCCTTGTGCCCTCCAAATGGGTTGAACTACAGTGTGTACCATACCCCGCCCAGGATAGAACATACTTTTGGAGGGATTATAGGATTTGTAGTCAAATACAAATTGTATTAAGTCAGCATGGTGTAGTGGTTAGGGTGGGGACTGGGACTTAGAAGATCCAGGTTCTACTCTCAACCTGGTCAGATGACTAGGGACTTTGAGCCAGTCACTGACTCTCAGCCTCACAGAGTTAACATAGAGATGAGGGGGATCATGTAATCCGTCTTAAAAATGCATTTGGCGGACACCAGTGTCAGGAGGCTGATCTAGGTTCTGCCAATGGTCATTGGGCTAAATATAGATATCAACAAAGTTTTAAGAGTATAGGATATTAGGAAAGTTGTTCATTTGGAAGTTAATAATATGACAAATCCAAACATCTCAGCTTGGTATTTGCCATTAAGACAACTGCACAATTTCCAAACTTACATTACCTTCCATATTCACATGATCTGTTTTTACAGATCAGTTTAGGCAGTTGTGCTATGTGTAAATATTCTTTTTTCAAACCACATATGGTGATTAGGCTTCCTAACTAGTTCTGATATAGACCAAAAGTTCAGTATTTCTATTTGTGATAATATTCATATGACTCATTTCCCATATGACCACTATTTCCTTCTGACAAAACAATAAATTCTATTTCGTTCATATATCTATGAGACCATTAACTCAGCATGAGTTGCTACACTGATATTAACTAATTTGGACCATTCCTTTCAAGATATTCTCTGGTATGCTGACTGTAACTGTCCAGTATATCTGCAATCCTTTCATTTTGAGAACCTTGCCACTTACTAATACTAGCTGTCTTTTTTTTCAATTGATCTGTTTGCTACATACTGTACAAAGCTGCTACTCTGAAAATAAGCTGCAGTTTATGTGGTTGCCAAACTGTGATGTATTAGAAAGCCTCTCTCAACTTGGTATGCTTTAGACATCTTGGATTGTAACTACCCTGATAATTGACCATGCTTTCTGTTACTAATAGGGCATTCTAATCAAAATGATCTAGAGGGCACCAGGTTGTGAAAGGCAGTGTTAGATGAATGCCTACTCTTTTAGAAGACAAATGCATGCATTATCAAAACACTTCTGAGTGTTAAGGTCTAAAAGCCATAAAGCTGGGTCAGTTTGGGAAGTACTAAAGAGAAGCAAGTTCTTAGACCTTAGATCATAGAGTATTTAAATGTGGCATAGCTTAACTGGAAGAATCTTTATTTAAAAGTGTATTTGTTTTGTCCTGTTTCAACTCTTATTTATAGAACAACCTTTGAAAGTTAAGAAGTCAACATGTTAACTTGCCAGATTCAGAACTGATCACATACTATTTCAGCTTCATGAAATGTGTCAATTAAGAAAACAGCTTTTATGGTAATTGAATTACTGAATTCTGAGCAAGGCATTCCTGCTATTATAAGCTTGGCCACATTTCAGGAGAGTGTCCTTCAGGGGAACAAAAGGCTTAACACTGTATTATTATACTTCTGCCTCCTAGTAGGAGGAATAAAGCTTGGAGATCCTTTGTACTCCAACAAGAAGTGTTAAGTGCCGATATTATTTTATTAAAAAGAGCGACAACTTCTCCAACTTGCAAAGTTCTGACTGGGAAACTATCAGCTCCTCACACCACCGAAGAATTTGGATAGCTGTTGGGCAAACTTATGCATGCCTACTTATGAGTTAGCTCCATTAAGTTCAAAAGGCACTTACTTTCAGGGAATTTTGCTACAATCACTGCCCTAATATTCTCAAACAAATATTTCAATGGAAAAAGAGAAGAAAGATGGAAGGAAATAGAACTTTTCACAGCACTTGAATGGAGGCATCTTAAATTCATTTTGTTCAAAAATGATGATTCTAGGGTACAGAATTTAATATATTCTTAAACATTCTTCATTTACAAGGTAAATCTAAGGTTTCCCTTTTTATTAATAGTTCTTTGTGATGCTCATTAGTAAATGAATTGATTGATTGGATTAAACTAAGATTCTCAGTACAGTTAGTTTAATATTATTTTTGCCTTCAAAGGTTGATTCCAAAGGTGTGGCAAAATCTAAGGAACCTGCAGAAACTAAAAAAACACGTTCAACCATAAAAGGGTAGGCATACTTAAACGTTTATAGCATAATGTTAAGATAATACCATACTTTAGTAGATATTCACATAGGCCTCCTTTAAAGCATCATTTTTGAAGGCTGTTAATCTGTGATTACTTCCAAAAGGTAGTGGGATTACAACCTTAGGAAGTTCTGAAGTATGTCTTCTGGTTTTTTACAGTAGCATTACAGAAACAGTTAATGATTTCTTTTACTACTGCCAATTGTAAAATATAAATGAGAATTCCAGGAATAATGTGCCAATGCTAGGTTCAGTCATCTATGTACTTGTAAAGTTATACAAATTTTGCTTTCTGATGTGCATTTTTCCCCAACTAAGAAAAGTAAGATGCTATAATATTCAGACACTGAAGTTCATGCTTACAGTGATATGTGTTACTCCAGTGTTCAATTACAATTTTTATCTGGGACTGAAATGTTAGGTATTATTAAACAACTGTTGAAAACTGTTCTCTAACACATTGGTATGCCTTAACAGAACAATCCTATGCCCCCTGGACAGCCTCTGAGGGGCCATAGGATTTTTGACAATTCCCAGATCTGAGGTTAGAGACAGTTCTCCAACCTTTGAGTTGAGAAGTGGAACTCCATTTTCCCTTTCCATCCCCTCAAAGCTGGCACATAAAGAACCATACTGGCTGCTCTCTGAGGGCAGGAAAGTGATCTTGGGCAGGAATAGAAGATAGCATTTTATGGGGCAGAAAGGGAAACTGACTGGGAAGGATATAAGGTACCTAGAAGCTGCTCTAGCCTTCTTCCCTCCACTTCTGACATGCTCCAACTAGACGGGCAAAAAAGCCCATCTAACAAAATACAGAGTAGGACGACGAAGAGGTAATGATCGTATCTGCTATTCTTTTAATCCTGTACTAGAAGTCTCTGCACTTCAAACCGTCACATTAGGTCTTGCAGGTGTCCCAGCAGGATTGTGCCCTTAGCTGCTCTTCTACTCAGGGTCTGGCTCTGAAAACATTAACTACATAAAAAGACTTCTGTTGACTTGGGCAGACTTTAGATCACACCATTGAAACCATAATAATTTTTTTCATCTTCTCCTGTTCATCTCTGATGTCATGCTTGCCTTTGAAAATTTGAAAGAATAAATATATAAAATATCACAGAGTGATAGATACAGATTTAAAATTAACATAATAATTGATAAGAAAAAATATCCATGAGTCTTGTAAAGTTATATTGTCTCTTTCTTCAGTTTTAATTGTAAGTATGGTTCTTCAGGTTGTCATCTATGTACTCATACAGCCCACCCACTCCTTGCATCCTTGCCTCCTATAATAGTTCAGTCTTCCAGTATGGCTGTCTGGGAAGTGAACAGGGAGAGCAGATGCTATACTCTTTGGGCATATGCAAGTGAGATTGGGGGGTGGGGTACCCTTCCTACCAGAAAGCTCAGCTCTAGAATGTTCTAGACAGGGCTTTGTGAAAACCTGATATGTGCTACACAGGTGACCATTCAGAGAACCACAGCTGCAGGTAAGTAACCTATATTACTGCCCTCAGTTTCCTGAACATCTGAGAGGCCATCTTCCCACTACCCTGCTGTTCAGAGGCTCTTGTTGAAATGAAGGTACAAGCTCTAATGATTTCTTTTGCATCAGATCCCACAGGATTAGCTGGCTTTCTGCTTACATGCACTTCATCCTCTGCTGCCCTCCTCTCCCCTGCCAATACGTATCTTTTTACAAAAGGTTTTATCCTTAGGAGACATGGTCCTTTTAGGGCACACACACAGACTTTTCTGCACAAAGTAAATTAGCATATGTATATTAGTAGATGCAGATTTGTCCTGTTTTTGTCCTGTGGGCCTGAGTTCAGTATCTTTTTGGTATCTAGTTCTCCCTGATTTCCAGGTTGCATGTGTGCACACACACATTGTTTATGTACAGTATTGTTAATTTTTTAAAAATTCTTTCTGTTGTTGCTAGAGAGAATATTAGTAGAGAAGCTACTGACAAATATTTAAAATAAATAAGTAAATTATAGATAGCACAGAAAAGTTAATACAATATAACCCATTGCTAAGATAAATATAATTATGGTGTTACTTAAAAGACATCCAAATATCTAACAATTGTTTTTCCTTCACACTGAATATAATTAAAGCCATATTTAAAACATGTATGAACAAACACAAATTCAGATTAAAAATTATTTTTTCAGTGTCTCTGTTTCTGTCTCTGAGATTATACCAAATATCACATGACTTGCTTCCAAACCACAAGTGGGTATCTGTATCCATTGGTGTACAAGCAGACATTGATCCATGTAAGAGGCTTTCTCATCCCTTGCTTCTACTGTCCCTGCTCTCCACTGAATATCACTTTCTCCCTAAAAAGCCACTTCTGAGTGTCAGGGTGAATATCCCCTTGGGCAAGGTACACAAGAGGGCAACAATTCAGTTGTAGGAATTCTTAGAGGATAATGATGAACTAAATACATTTCAGTCTGGTTCTCCTCTGGTTATGGAATGGAATCAGACTTGGTTTTCCTGATAGTTAACTTTATTGAAAGAGGGACAGAGCTAATGCAACTCCGTTATACTTACTCATTTTTGCAGTAACATTTTATACCATTGATCATGACCTTCTCCTGGATTGCTTCTGAGGATTGTGGCTTGGGCAGTAGTTCTACTCCTTGCAATAGGGAAGGCTGGGGGACTCTCCCCACATTCCATAGCACAGAAGTTTCCTAAAGAAGGAAAGGAGAAAGTATGCTTTCCCCACTTTCCAATTCTCCAGAAGCCTCCTTTCAGGAAGACTAGGACAAAACATATGGCTTCTTCACCTTATGCCTTATGCTCAGATTAATGGTACTAGGACCCCACTCTGCATTAGCATACTCACTAAACCTTCCCACAGTATTTGAAACTGATTCTCAGCAAATGCCTAGGTCTACTGGCTTTGGCATTTTAGCCATGGATTCTAATCCCTCCTCCTTGACTCAGTCAGAATCCATTTCCACAACCCCTGAAGGTTCTTTTGTAGGAGAGTAGGTCCAATCCTACTCCATAGGAACCTGGAATGTAAGATTCATGAATCAAGGCAAACTGGATGTGGTCAAACAAGAGATCACAAGACTGAACTTTCGACATCTTAGGAATCAGTGAACTAAAATGGACAGGAATGGGTGAATTTAATTCAGATGACCATTAGGTATACTACTGTGGGCAAGAATCCCTCAGAAGAAATGGAGTAGCCTTCATAGTCAATAAAAGAGTAGGAAAAGCAGTACTGGGATACAATCTCCAAAATGACAGAATGATCTCAGTTTGAATCCAAGGCAAACCATTCAACATCACAGTAGTCCAAGTCTATGCCCCAGCCACTGGTGCTGAAGAGGCTGAAGTTGACCGGTTTTATGAAGGCCTACAACACCTTCTAGAATTAACTCCAAAAAATGATGTCCTTATCATCATGGGGGATTGTAATGCTAAAGTAGGAAGCCAAAAGATAACCGGAATAACAGGCAAGTTTGGCCTTGGAGTACAAAATGAAGCAGAGCACAGGCTGGTAGAATTTTGTCAAGAGAATACGATGATCATAGCAAACACTCTTTTCCAACAACCCAAGAGATGACTCTACGCATGGACATCACCAGACGGTCAACACAGAAATCAGATTGACTATGTGCTCTGCAGCCAAAGATGGAGAAGCTCTATACAGTCAGTAAAAACTAGAGCAGGAAGAAAGTAGGGAAAAGCACTAGGCCACTCAGGTATGACCTAAATCATATCCCTGATGAATATACAGTAGAGGTGACAAATAAATTTAAGGAATTAGATCTGATAGACAGAGTGCCTGAAGAACTATGGATGGAGGTTCGTAACATTGTACAAGAGGCAGCAACTAAAACCATCCCAAAGAAAAAGAAATGTAAGAAAGCAAAATGGCTGTCTGAGGAAGCTTTACAAATAGCTGAGGAAAGAAGGGAAGCGAAAGGCAAGGGAGAAAGAGAAAGATAGAAACAATTGAATGCAGAATTCCCAAGAATAGCTAGAAGAGATAAGAATGCCTTCTTAAATAAACAGTGCAAAGAAATAGAAGAAAACAATAGAATAGGGAGGACCAGAGATCTCTTCAAGAAAATTGGAGATATGAAGGGAACATTTCATTCAAAGATGGGCATGATAAAGGACCAAAATGGCAGGGACCTAACAGAGGCAGAAGAGATTAAGAAGAGGTGGCAAGATTACACAGAAGAACTATACAAGAAAGAGCTTAACATCCCTGATAACCACGATGGGGTGGTCACTGACCTCGAGCCAGACATCCTGGAATGTGAAGTCAAATGGGCCTTAGGAAGTCTGAACAACAACAAAGCTAGTGGAGGCGACAGTATTCCAGCTGAGCTGTTCAAAATCCTAAAAGGCGATGCAGTTAAAGTGCTACACTCAATATGCCAGCAAATTTGGAAAACTCAACAGTGGCCACAGGATTGGAAAAGGTCAGTTTACATTCCGATCCTAAAGAAGGGCAATGCCAAAGAATGTTCAAACTACCGCACCATTGCACTCATTTCACATGCTAGCAAAGTGATGCTCAAAATCCTACAAGCTAGGCTCCAACATTCCTGCATTCCTGTTAGTGGTTGGGGGAAAGCAGTAGTGTTTTGCCGTGGGCCCTGACTGTTACTTTCCTATTTCCTAATATTGCATATTCTGAGACCCCAAGTAGAGTTTCTGTGTAGGATGTTCTACTAAATTAAGAAAATCAAGTTTTTGTCTGGAAAATTATATTCTTTGAGAAGACATCTTGTTTCTTCAAATATGTTATTACATTCCCACTATGGATTCTTAATTTGGACTGTGCTAGATTTGGGTTAGCGGATATAAGAATTCAGTATTCTGAAGCCTGATGGCAAACAGCATTTGAAAGGATGGAACTCAGAGCTAAATTACACAGAAAAGTAAATATGCTCCTTATAGATTCATGTTTTTACAATGATAATAGCAAGCACAGAAGGGG